TATCTACACGTATATTACTTGTTTATTTCTCTTGATATGGTCTGATTGACACGTCTTACTTCTTTATGATGTGTTGACGTGTCTTAAGTTGTTGTTTTGTCACGGCTAGATTATATTTACTTTTACGTGTTTATGTTCGCATGACGTGAATTTGATAGATCAGTTGTTGTGACTGTTTACTACTGATCTTTACTGGTTGACCCAAGAGATCTGGATGTTCTTCTAGATTTTTGGAACCTTGACTTTGAACTGATTTATCGGTTTAGATTATTGCTTCTGAAACCTCTCTTAGTGCCTAAAAAGGTATTAACCTGCACTGGTCTGGCTAGGAGCTTTGTGAAGTTGATGTTGGATCTCAAGAAGTCTACTGTGAATCAGTTTGTTCTTGCTTTCTCTTCTTCTTTAAGCAAAATAAGGATATAAGGATATTGTTTTTGACTAGTGTAGTCCCTTCCTTATTGTCAAGAGTCAAATGTATATTGTAGGAGGAAGGAGTTGTTGCTGTTGTTATCTCTTCTTGGGGTTGTTTCTTGTGAAAAGGTTTTTTCTTTAGAAAATTATTATAAAAGAAAATTTTCTGAAATTTTGAGAATCAGCGGAAAGAGTTTTTTTTTTAATTTTTTTTATTACTTTTTTTCTTATAAATATATATATAGTATATTTTCAAAATATCATTATTTACATTTTTTAATTTATAATTTTTTATATTTCATTGACTTAATAAAACAAATAACAAAAATAATCTACTAACAATAATATGTAATCTAAAAACTTAAAAACTATTATTATTTATAACAAGTTTATTATATTAGACTTGATAAATAATTAATTCTATTATCTATCATATTGCTTAAATGAATAGTACTTATGTCCAAAAAAATAAAATAAAATAAAACATATATAGCTTATCTAATAGAAAAAAAATTTTTTAAAAGTCTATTATAATTAAAAATTTTATTTTCAAGAATTATGATATAATAATAATTATAATTTTTAAAAATAGTAATCAATAATAACTAAATAGCTCTTACTATAATTGTTTCTGGAATAGTACTATCGTTGTATGGCAAAATGCAATGATATGTAATATTATTTTTGTCGAAGATGGAAGGTTGGAACAGTGTTGTTTTGATCTTTAAGTTTAGCTATAATTTAAATTCGGATAAATCAGATGGTATGTAGCAATCACAGCTATCCTTTGAATTTTATTTGCTTAAAAAAAAAAATTGAAACGTGTTAACTCAAGAGAGGTTGAAATTATTCAAAATTGGTCCTTATTAGGAAAGTGATAGGAAGAGCAGAATTTAATATTGATAAATCAAGTCTGCCCTTTTTAAAATCGTTAGAGGGTCTTTTCTCCAATTCTTTATTATAAAGTCATTAATACTAAGGGCATCATTCGACAGAACAATTGGATATCTAAGCATTGAAATTGATGGATCAAGTTAGGCAATACACGTCAAAGGCGGAAGATGTTCTTGCCACACTCTTTCAACCTCTGAAACCTTATATCCCCGCAATCGCTCGTTTCCTCATTGTGGTAACGTTTCTGGAAGATGCGCTCAGGATATTTTTTCAATGGGAGGATCAGTTACACTACCTAGAGAGAATTAGGGGATTTCCTTGGGGAGCGTCACACATATTTTTGGCGGGTAATATTATTGTAAGTTAATATTTTTACTTAAGAATTCTCGGTAGAACTCTTAGCAGTCATATTTCTCATTAATTGATACTGTTAATTCACAGGTCATGCTTGTAGGATCTATCCTCGTTATCGGGAGAAAATATCCAGAATATGCAGTTGGGGGTCTTTTCATTGTTGTCGTCGCCCAATCTATTGGATACGGCCTTTGGAATGAAGTCAATTTTCTGTTAAGGAGTCTTTCTGTCATCGGTGGTCTATTAATGGTTCTTTCAGACGCGTTTTCTAAGAAGAAATCAGTCTTTGCCGATTTACCGCAATTATCTGAAAGAGATCGTAAAACGTACCTTCAACTTGCTGGTCGCGTTTTATTGATCTTCTTATTCATAGGTTTTATCTTTCATGGAGAGTGGTCCTATACTCGAGTTTTTGTCTCTATTACAGGATTTGCAGCCTGTATAATGGTGGTAGTTGGTTTCAAAGCCAAATGGTCTGCCACATTTTTAGTTTTGTCCCTTTCAATTTTTAATTTACTTATTAATAATTTCTGGTCAGTTCATCATGCAAACCCACAGCGTGACTTTTTGAAATATGACTTCTTCCAGACTCTTAGTATTGTGGGTGGATTATTGTTATTGGTAAATATGGGCCCTGGTGGAATTTCTATTGATGAGAAAAAGAAGGATTATTAGAATATGTATAGCTGGTTTTCATGTTTATGGGCAATTTCGACGTAAATCTCTACAAATTGTTCGTTAATATCATACTATGATTCCATAGTATTATTTTGGCGAAAAAAGGTTAAGGATAATATTCTTTATAACGATCCATTATTGGGTAATTTGCAGTACTTTCGATATCATTGTATAAAACTTCTTTATATAAGCCTTTTTAATGTGATTAATTTTGAACACTTCTTTTTTTTAAATAACTAATTCCCCTTTATTGTATCGCAAAAGAAAGACATTTACACCATTAATGTTTCCTTTATTTTATAGATAAAATTTCCAGTTTGATTATTAAGCTTACAAGTGTTAAAATATATATTATCCGATGTTCTATTTAATTTGATTGAGAGTCTATTTCCAATAGCATTCATAATTGTATATATTATAATAAATTAGCTACTACGAGAAAACAATGAACAATCAAATTAATCTTTTTTATTAGTTAAAAAAATAACAATTTAAAAAGTAAAATTATAAATTATATTTTATAATTTATATGATAATTTAGTATTTAATTTTGGAATTATGATAATATCTTTATTTTTATTTTTTGTAATATCTGTAGCCAGGTTAGATTATTAATTTGGTAATCAAATAAATACATATAAGTACATTTTTATTTAAGCAACATAATATATACTATAGTTAAACTTTTCTAATTAAATTCAACTAACTTATTAGTAACAGTTTGATATTAGAAACAACATTTTATCTTATAATAAACTTTGAATAAAAAAACCCCTTTTAATCTATACATTATTGTTAATAAATTACTATTGTTATAAATCATATTAAGTTACTGGAATATAGAAAACTATAAAAAATATATATCAAAATAAAAAAAAGAGAAATGTTTAAAAATATATAACAATATTAAATAAAAAGTAATAAAAGAAGTAAAAAAATTTTTTAAGTGAATACAAAATCAAGACTAATAAAAAGAAAACATTGAGCAAGATACTGAATATGAGTAGATAATAAGTACCTCAAATAGTTACAAGAAAATAATCAAGATTATAGATGGATATGTTCTTCAGAAATCAGGAAAAAAAAGGGTATCTCAAAAGGATTGACTCCTAATAAGAAGAGATTTCTAGTAGAGATCCTTTAAAGAATATGAAGTACTTTTATTTTTGTTTTATTTTTTTTTTTGTTTTATATAGCACAATTATATTTTTAAATATACTTTTTTTTTTTATTTTCTCTTTTTTATTTTGTAATTTCTCGAAATCAATTCCTTGGAGAATAATAAATAATGATAACCTGTTGAAAATGATATATAAATTAGAAAGATATTTATCCAAAATCTACTACAGTGCAGAATATTATCTCCAAGGTTGCACTTAGAGGCTGAAGCTCTTTTGAGAATTGAAAGCTATTGATGAGTGAGTTAGTATAAGTTTTAATTTAGCTATGATGCAATTGTCCTATATATCTCTATTAATTTTTATATTAATTAATAAACATACAATGCTGGTCTGATTATAGATTTTAAAAAAAAAATAATAATAAATTTTTAACTTTTTTTAAAAAATCATTTTTAAGATTTTTTTTAATAAGAAATATCATACTAAGATTTTTTTTTTTTGATTATTTAAAAAACTTATTTATTTTTAATCTTAAACTTTTTTTATATATTATCTAAAAAATTTTATTATTTATTAAAATTTTTTATTTCTAAATATATATTTAATTTCAATTTATTTCAAATAATAATTTTTATATAATAAATAAATAACTTATAATCAATTTTAAATTTTTATATAATCTATTAAGAATTTAGTTATATTGTTTCAATATAATATCTTTTAATAATTATGTCTATTTAAAGAAATTTTATTGATAAAGATTTTTTATTATTTAAAAGATTGCATTTCTTAATATTTCTTTTATTGTATAATAATATAAGAATTTTTAACTTAACAAGTAATAGTAATATCTCTATTAATTATAATAATTTTTAATAATTTTTAAGAAAATACATTCTTATTAGTAATTAAAAAAATAGAACATAATATAAACCAAAAATTGTTTAGTCTTATTATATAATTGAATAAAAAAAAAACTTTGATTTTGAATTTTGTTTAATTGAAATAATAAGAAAAAAATTTTTAACTTTAATAAATAATTTTTTTATCACTTGAAAATTTGTTATTAAATTTTATTATTAATTTATAAAATTTAAAATATAGATTAATTTAATTAAAAAAATAAATAAAAATTAAAAATCAATTAATTAAAAATTTTTTTGAGTATTTGTAATCAAACTAGATTATAGTTTATTAATTAATTGAAACTATAAGTATATTTTTACTTAAATAGTATAATATATTATACAGTTAAATATTTTTATCAAATTTAATAAACTTGATATAAATAATAATAGTTTCTAAGTTTGATCATAAAAACAATATTTTATTTCATAATAGTTTTTGAATAAATATCCTTCTAGTCTATTACTTTATTATTAGTAAATTATTATTATCATATATTTTATTTTTATTTTTTTTTTTTTTTAAACTGTAACTGGTATTAGATACGAGCTCTTTATTGATAATTAAATCTTAAGTGTTATATCAATCATCTCATATATATACATGTAGATTAATGATAACTTATCACGGTTTGTCCTAGGCAGACCTGCTTGAAACCCCCCTGTAGGTGGGCACGCCTGACTAGAGGCCGGATGGTTGATAACAGTCATCAACGGCGATGTTGGTATAGTTAGCTAATTCTGTTAATAAGAGACTACTATGCTAACTTATACACTAGTAACAAATCCTCAAGGGTTATTTTAACTACCCAGATACCTTGATACTTTTCACTTGAACCTCAGAAGGGATTTCTATCTTCTTTGTTACCACCTGTAACATCACAGACAAGTCCTATTTGACAAGTTCTTTATTTAAGCAAATACTGAATTGGGATATTCCAAGTTAGGGTAGTCAGATTCCAGATCCTGCTGGTACAGTTTGGAGTAGAAAATGTTTAGATGATTGCCACAGTCCTAAAAGCAGGGTCCTAGAGTCTGCTAGTATAATTTGGGATTAGTGATATGTTCAGATGATTACTGCAGTCCTAAAAGTGGAGTTCTGGGATTTGTTTCCTGTCCAGTTCAGAAGGGTTAGATCGGATGTAATTGTGTAATCAGACCAGAGGCCTTTCTTCATGTAATCCTCGTAGTAGATCCTTTTTACCTAGCAATCAACAGGGAGGCCAGAAGTTCCATCCTTGTGCAACTAGGTTATTTTCTCACAGAGCCCTTATATGGTATTAAACTCTGGACCTTGTGATTGTGACTTGAAAGCACTACCACTGTACTATAGACCTACAGGTCTTATAGTTTCTTTTTCTTTTCTTTGGCTTCTTTATGGATATTATTTAGAAATTAAATAGGTTCAACTACACTTTCTCCTTATAAGCCTATGAAATTAGGTTCTCATAAGATTTTATACTTTTTATATATACTGGCAAGTCTATTGGTCAATATTTTGGTAAAGTATTTTTTTTGTCTCTAGCAATATTATGAGTTTTGTATTGTTTAGACT